TTTCCACAAAACTGGAAGAATGCAAGTATAAATACGTACCCTGGAAAGTACAATAAGGAAAATAGAGGATAAAGAGGGGGGATGACAACAAAATGCACACAAATTAATGAAAAGGATTTGAGAGAAAATGATACAGAAGACAAAAAAAGAAAATCGAACATGTTTGTAATTGGAGCTTCTGAAGAAGAAAATCAAAGGAGTAGAAGTAAACAAATACTGAACATTAATTTAAGAGCACTCCCTGAAGTAGAAGAAGACAGGAACCTACATATTGAAAAGACCTATAATCCTGAAAAAAATGAACCAATTCTAGTGAAATGCTTGGGTCTTGAAGGTTTTTTTAAAAAAAAGCAACAAAACCCCCTTTGAACACCCAGCTGAAAGGATCAATTAATTTATAAGAAATAGAAAATAAGATTGATATGCTACTTCTTAACCACAAAAAAGTGAGAGGTAGAGTAACATATTTAGTAACCAGGAAAATAAAATGAACCAAAGATTTTTATAAGCAGTCAGTCTGACTTATTATGAGTTGTATAGACAGATATGAATGTGAAAGAAATTAGGGTTAATCCTTTTATAACCTGCTAGTGGGAAGGTTTTTTCAATGATGATTTAGAGTCCAGAAGTGATGAAAGAATAAACAGATAAATTTGACAAATATTAATATAAACTTTCATAGAATGAAAATAAAACCTTAATTGAAGTCAAAATACAATGGTAAACTGGGAAGTAGTGTTGGCAAATCATGTCACAGACAGAGGGCCAATGTCCTTACTCTATAAAGGGCTTCAAATTTTGAGAGGAAGAAGGCCAACCACCAAAGGAAAATAGAAGCTAGTTCACAAAAAGGAAACGCAAATGACCTTTAAACATTTGAAAAGATGTTCAATCTTGCTCATAAAAGAAATGTAAATTAAATCTATATGAAGATACCATTTCTGTGAGATTGGCAAAAATCCAAGCTTTTGATAACATATTTTGTTAGCAATACTGAAAGCAAGCATATTCATGCCTTGCTAGTGAATGGGAATTTGGCATTAGCTAGCAAAATTACATATGCATTTACTTTTTGGCTCAGGAATTCTACTTGGAAAAATATATTCCAAGGACAGTTGTCAAATATAGTAAATGACATTTGCAGAAGTTATTCTCTGTGCCAATGTTTGTAATAGCAAACAACTAGAAACGATGTAAATAACCAGTAATAGAGGACTGGTAGAATAAATTGTGCTACATGTACACAGTAGTAAAATGAAATGAGGAAGAACTGTATTTTACTGCAGTGTAATATTCAGAGCATGTTTTTATTTGAAAACACACACCAAACATATACATACACACAAACAATGGAATAATAAACCAAAAACTAATAAAATTGGTTACTGTCAGAGTTTAGGAGGGAACTTGGAAGAGGGAACAGATAAGTAAATGTGTGTGTGT